GGAAAATATATACCTGCAAAAAAAATTGTTTTACCTATCAAAAAAGCAGGTTAATAAAATACTTGTGCCGTAAAAATTCATTTTGGGATCGATGACGTTCGGTCTTTATGGCAATGTACATATTTACTATACTTTATGCAAATGTTTTAATAAAAAATTGATTCAATTCAAAATTTAAGTCAAAAACATTTTTCACTTTCATCCTCAATTTTTAACATGTTATAAATATTCAAACGAAATATATTTTCTATTACATTTACAGAACAGTAGACAGAGTCATTACATTAATTAAATAACTTTTGAAATGATATTGTTTCATACTTTGTTATATTTTACCATTAGTTAAACTAATTATATATGTATTTTATCTAATAAAGTAACAATTAGATTTTACATCTGGTGCCCAACTTAAAGCCTAAAAATTTTAGATGAACATTAACTCATTTATAGATATTGTTGTCAAAATTTTAGATTAACAATAGCTAATTTGTTGGCGTTGTTGTGTTGGAAATTTCAGATAAATATATTGATGGTTTGTGGAGGGAATTCGAACCTTTTAAAATAAGTACCCCGCTGTGGGAATCATTTTATTATTATTTCTTTTCTATAAACAGTATTTAAGTTTAGTTATTCTACATTATTAACTGTGTAACTGGTTTTGGGATAGAGTTATTTTTGGGGTTAAAGTTTGTCTTGATTCCCAAAATCAGCTACTCTTGCAAGAGTTTATGGCAATCTTAATATTATTATAAATATTGAAGAAAAGTTAATATATATTTTTTTTTTGCTTTATTGAAATTCTACCTCTTATTATTTATTTTTACCCTTACACAAGAAGTCTCACTAAAGAGAGTAAGTTTAGTAATTTTTTATTGTCTTTAAATTTTCCATCGCCGCTCAAATTACTTGGCACTTATAACTATTATTATTTTATGCAGCAAAAGAAACGTAACAGCAACCTCTTCGCTATCGATAGCTGCTAATCAAGTCTATATTTAAAAAACTACAAGATGGAGATACCTCTATACATGACTTTATTTGCCTAGTTACGAAACAACCGGCATGACAAGATCACTCAGCTCGACATGATTTCCGGCTTAATAAATACTGAAATAAAAGAAAGGGTATCTCGAGAATCAATACGAACGTTTAGACGCCTGTTACAAAAAGGTCGTAACATACAAATAGTTCAAAAAGAAAGAAATTTGTAGTAAAATCGTAAACTCTAACACTGAAGAACCTGGTTTAAAAGGCAAGAAAAATAGATGTGGATGTTGCCGCCTTTGAGGTCATAGAATCGATGAGTGTAGAACGCGAATACCCAAAGAACATGAAAAAACTACAGCTTTTTGAAAAATATTGGATTCTGCCTGTAACATAGAAAATAAAGTAAGATATTATGATTTTGGTAAAGCTGGTTACTTCAATGATAAATGCCCGACGTGTAGCAACAGGAAGGAGAAAGACACTCAAGCTATTAGTTTTTATTCTTTCCTTAGCCTAACTATGCACAAACCCCAGGTACATTCTATTTCTGGCATAGCCCACATTGATACAGCGGCTAAGCAAATCGATTATTATGTGAATTTGTAAAGCAAGTAGCCTCCTTAACTTTTAGAAGTAGAGAAGCTGCGGTAACTTTGGCAGATGGATATAGTGAAACCAAGAACATACTAATCACAACAGTGTATATCAAAATACAGATACGTGCAATTTGATATTAAATTCATAATTATACTGAGAGCCAAAAACAAACGCACACCATTGGGCACTGACCTTCTGGAAAAATCCGACATGGCTTTAATATCACCTCAGAGATATTGGTTTTATATAGATAGGCGCAACAATTCACATCAGCAAACAATGAAAAAATGGACGACTTAAGGTATAAACCCACTGCAAAAATACTAATCCTATCTGTTTAACATAGGTTAGCCAATACAGTTTTCTATTTCTCGATCTTTTTGCTTTACCACTATTAGACGTATATAAAACAGTCGTAGAAGTTGCAAAAAAATTGTTTTTCTACTCCCACATGGATATAAGCTTATCTACGTAGAGACTACAAAACGGATAAGTATGCTATTGCCTCTTTAACTGAACCAATATATTTCATATCCATTCTAGGTGGTGAAAACACTGCAAAATAATAAAATCCACCAATATAAGTGACAATTCTGTCAAACTAATTGTCAGTATATTTTTTAGTTATTAAGATTAAATATATATTAAAATTATTACTTCTTGTATAGAATAGCATTTATATTTTATTTCATCTATAATTATAAATAATTTATTAATTAAATTTATGTGGTCAGCGTTCTTGACTTTCAGACGGATGGGGGAAAGTGAAATTAATTTTTTCTTTTTTTTTCCTGTTTATTTTATAAATTAGTAAAAGTCATAAATTATTTTTAAATTAATTATTTTATCTTAAAAAAAGCGTCTTTATTGTTGTACAACTTTTACACAATTACCGAATGGCCATCGACCGGAGTCATTTGTAAAGCCTATTTTGTTAAATTTGTTGTATTACGTTACTGTTTGTTTTTATGTATAAATAATTTTTCTCAAAAAAAATACCAAATTACAAGTAAAATAAAAAAATAAATAAATGACAGATAATTTTATACTCGTATGAAATGAACGTTCTTAATGTATATTTCTACCCTTGTCGAGGAAAAATTTTTGTAGAGAAACAATTTTTGATTTTAACCTCAATTGATCTTTCTTTCCATAAGTCGTTGATCAGGTAGATTATACATATTGGGCAGTTCATTAACCATAACTTGTACAGTAATACTTTATGCCACACACTATCAAAGGCTTTTTATGTCCAAGAACATCACTGCACTCTTATCTCCATATAGGTTAGATGTTTGTACGTTTGATGTTAGGATTGTGATTGGATGGGTGGTTGCCCTTTTTTCTACAAAACCGAATTGGTATTTAAGTATCTTGTTCCCACATTCTTTAATTATTAAATTTTTAGTTATGTTTTCCACATTCTTTCCAATTCCAGGGAGGAGACTTATTGGTCTGTAGATTTCAACTACCTTATGCTGGGTATTAGGTTTAGGGATGGCTTTTATATTACTTGATTCCATTCTGAGGAAAAGTATTGATAATTTAGGCAGTATTCATATATTTTTAGTATATATAGATGTACATTATAGTCTAGTTTCCTTACTATGTCTTTAGTTATAGTATCATGTCCAAGTGCTGTAGAATAACCCTTGTGTACAATCTCGAAGTAGTATTCTACCTCAATTTTACTTTCTTCATAGTCCGTTGTTGTACTAAAGAAATCGTCATATCATGCATTTACTAATTATTAATAGTGTGTTTCATCGAATTGTTGATTTTTTGTTTCAGCAACTGCCTTATGAAAATGTTCAGCAAATGTTTTAGTTTTTTGTTTGTCGGACGAGTAGACCCTGCCATTTTGTCCACGTCTGGTATGTTCATAGCTGGTTTATATTTGGATAGCTTTTTTATTGTTTGCCAGTATTTTTCCCATGTTCTTAATTTATTTCAGTATTTGGAGATTTCTGGTACTCTCTTAATATTTTTCTTTTATGTATGATTAGTCTAATTATATACGGTGGTAGTTCTGAGTTGTAGTATTTGATTTTGACTTTCGTAGAGTTCTGAATAATTGTTTCCGATAGTTTTTCATTAAATTCTCTGATTGCGACCTCGTTTAACACGTTATTTTTTATGTACATTTACAAATTCCAGCATTTTGGAGTTTATACTGTCCATGCTGCATGTTTTATTATTTATCCTGTATTCCTCTAATTCTTCAATATTTGTAATCAATTCTATAGTGATTATAAGTGCAGAGTGTTCACATCCTATGTCTGGATTAGATTTTACACTTATATTATTTTCTATATTCTTTGTGTATAAAACTAGATCGGCGGTAGTGCCTTCATTGTTAGTCATGTGAAATGTGGGTGGGGTTAGCGCTTTCTTAAACTGACTATTGTTACAAAAGTCCTTACTTGGTTTTACTCACTGATCTGTATTATTTTACTGGATAGGATATAGCCCCCTAAAAAACGTTCCGAAAAATTGGCCGATTTGGGCAAATAATATGGCGGACCGGATGTTATTTAACGTAACCTCTATTTCCATTTGTCATTTAATTGTGTCAACAAGCTACGATGAGATGTTTTTATTGTGGAAAACAAAGTAAAAAGAGTATGAAATAAACAATAAACGTTCATTCCTGAAGACACAATATGCTTCACGTTTCCATTTTTATATTTTCTTTCATAAAAAAATCAAATCGTGGGTGAATTTTCCCGAAGGACATCGCCCGCAAAAGGAATAGAAGAAGAATAACAAGAAAAACTAATCAAATTATAGGTTAGGTATGTCAAATTATCCCAAATTTCAGTTCTGTGAACCCACCATAATTTGCCCAAATCGGCCAGCATTGTTGCACTTCCGGTCTCCTTGGTGGAACGGTTTTTTAGTATGTTAAATATAGCCTATATCCTATCCAGTAAAATAATACAGATCAGTGGTTTTACTTTATGTTTGTTAATATTGAAGTCTCCAACTACAATACAGTATTTATGAAGTGCAATCTTATTGAAAATGGACTGTTCGATATGTTCGTTTGGGCGTACGTAGACCAAATTGATATATAGCTTATCTTATAGCAATGGTATAGTAAAATAGGTGACTTCGTTTAATGGGTTGTTTATTTTTATAGGATTGCCTTTTTTATTTTTAGTCCAGGATGTATTTGTACTAAACTGCCTCAGCTCACATTTTTGTTCACTATATTTCCCTCCCTTAGTATTATGTCCCAGTTCTTGTACTTTGCTTTGGTATCTGTTTTAGTTTTTGTTTCCACAAATAGACCACAGTTAAAGTTGCCCCTTTCTATTATGTTGCTTATGAGTTGTTTTTTTTGTGTGTGTAATTGTTGACATTACAGTATATAATTTTAAGTTGGAACATGAGTTATATATCCCGTTTATAGGTTATGTAGAAGATGTTGATAAAGGTTCGTCCAGGTCAAACATAAGGATGTATATCCTGTTGCCAGAAAAATGTGCTACCGTGTCATTGTTGAATTGTACAACGAATCTTTTTCTTAATTTAGTTATCAATTCTTCCCTGTTTGTGTTTTTCTCTTTATTAAGTTTGGATACGTATTTATTTAGAATGTGATCATGCACTGTGATATTGGTATGAATTTTGCTGTTTTTGTTTTTTTTTTTTGAGTCGATCTCATTTGATTTTTTATTTAATAGTTTAATCGGGTTGTTAGGGATTCCTGCAATGGGTTTAGTGGGCCTTGGCATTTTTGTGGCAACTGTGTGTTGCATTTGTTGAATTAATGAGGCCCATTGCATTTGCTGCATTTTATAGAAGGAGTACATTGTTCTCTGGAATTGGAATTAGTAAATTGTTGACACCGGGAACACGGTTGTGGGATGCGAGCTGGAGGTTGGCTTGGATATACTGGATAATGTTTATGTTTGTAGTATAATCCTCCATTAAGTAGCTTTTCTGTTGATTGTAAGCATCCTGATATTATTCTTATTAAGAATGTTGCCTTCTGAGTTGTTTTGGAGGTTATTCTTTTGCAATATCTGTGTTTTATTTTAATATCATTCAGAAACTTACTTATTTCTTCATCCGTTACGTCATGTTCCACATAACCTATGACCACACTGTAAGTATTATTTGTTGTTATTAAATTGTGCTTGAGTTTTAGATGGTTGAGTTTCCACAAAGTTTAGGATATGTTTGTCTGCGATTAGTTTCTTCAAATGATCATTTACCTCTTTCTTGTCATTATCTGTTTTGACTATAAAACCCACTTTAGATTTTAATATAACATCGTTGGAGTTGGGTTTCATGTTATTCCATATAAAATGCATAATTAAATTGTCTCTGTGTAATTTTCTTTATTTTGCAGTTTTTCGAATATTTTCCCATCTGTTGTAAATTCCCATTATTATTGTTAGGCAGTGTATATGTGTTGAAGTTGTTTTATTGTGGATTTCGATTTGTTGTTGAATCTTGACCAGTTTTTGTTGGATTGTTTTTTGTGGAGCTTGTAGATGAAAAGGTTAAAGTATTTACATTAGTATGTGTGGTGTTTCCTAAAATTGCGTTTCTAATTTCTTCTTGTGATAGTGTGATGTTTTTTATTCTCTTTGCATGTAGTAATTCGTGTTTTCTTTTTCTTTTGCCCTTCACTTTTTTCCATATGCCATCATTATCTCGAAATAGCTGCCATCGTTATCCGAAGACATTTTTTGATTTTTCCTTTTTCTTTTTGTATCAATAATACTAATACAATATTATTTTCAGAGCTAACAGAATTTAGACTTTACTCGTTGCTGTTTTGCGCTGAACTAAATATTTTATCTTAATAACCTAAAATAAATTTTAATATTTTTAGATTTTCTTTATTGGGTCGAAAAATATACTGTACAACTCGAGTGGATTGTCCATATCCACTCTTCTTGCACAAACTACTATTATTGTCGCCTGTTCGTCGACCTTTGGTTGAACTATCTGACAATCGTGATCAATATTCGCCAAATACCAATGAAGACATCTCCAGAGATTCTTAACCAATTGTTGGCTTACTTATACCGTATTAAGCATAGTACAAAAATTTATTTAATTCAGCATTTATTTGAAAAAAAATACCATATTGTGAAACATTTTTTAAAGGGGGATAAATTAAATATGGCGTCCATAATAAAAACAACGTTATAGTCATTATTTCGAAAATTGTAAGAGACATTCTTTTGCCTTACTTTTATTTATAAAGTGCATGATAAAATGTCTAAACCCAAATATACTAGGTTGCTGTTGATGCAGTTTGCACCAGTGTCAATTACACCACCTTATTTACCTAGTTTACTTCCTCCTTATTCCTTATCAGGTATCGGTAACTGGTATAGCCCGAACTGAAACCATGTTTTAGTTTCAAAGAATGGACACAATTTATAGAAATCCACAATTGATGGTTGAAAAAGTGGTGGGAGTTGGGGGAGGAGTGTCATTTGTCATTGGCATTCAATACCAGTATTTATTGTGATTAATATAATAATATTGTCAATAATTATTGTTTAATTGTTTGTATTTGGGAGTGTCCTGGAACCTGGATGAGTAATAGTAAGTATTTTGTAAATTTATTGTATTGTCAACTTGGTCTTGTTCAAATGTGTTTTTAATTTTCAATTTGTTTACTTAATCTTGCTGATGATTGTGACCTTATTTTAAATTTTTGTGGCGATTTTTTGTTTAAAAGTTGAAATATGTCGTGTTGTTGTGTGTAAAATTGTTTTGTAAATACTCTGAAAAGGCATCGTTTACCCAGGCCCTATCCTAATAATGATTAATTTAATATTTGAATATTGACTGTTCGCAGTTCGTTTTTCAATAATGAAACAACACAACAAATTTGTAAAAACTATTTAGTAGCTAATAAACATTTTGAAGATAAGTTTAAAGTACCTGGTACTCGCAGAGGTCTAACTGTTTTTTATTTGTTGTGGTACAAACTTTCTTCAAGCCGTTTGGAGTGGCAGTACTGCACCGTGGAAGACAAACCAGCCTAGTCAGGCAAGTAATTGTTACTGTTCTTTTTTTACTTTAGTCTCACTTTCCCTGCTTTTTATATTGATTTAATTCAGATTGTTACTTATACTGTAGTTTTATTTGTTCTAGTACAAACATTTTCAAGCCGTTTGGAGTGGCAGTATTGCATGGTTGAAGACAAAATAGCCTAGCCACCGTACTTCATGCCTCACTTTGCCTGCTACCCAACACATTTAATTTGTATATTGATTTAGTTTAGATTCTACTTTTACTGTTTTTTTATTTGTTCTAGTACAAACTTTCTTCAAGCCGTTTGGAGTGGCAGTATTGTATTGTGGAAGACAAAATAGCCTATTCACAAAAGTAATTTCTTTTTTATTCATGCCTCACTTTCTGTGCTCCCTAACAGATTTGAAGGGTGCAAGAAAAAAAGGGGCCAAGTCACAATTATCAAAATGTTCAAGAAAGCAAATTTAATTTAGACTGACTAAATACAAACTTTTGATACTTTGAAGTAATTGAATACAAAAAGATGTTACTTTGTATATATGCTGCCTAATTATATTGTAGTTTATTACTAATACAAATAGTTGAAATTTTTTAAATTTAAATACTGAAAGTGCCAAACAAATAGTAGAAAAAGATACTAAGTCCTTGAACATAATTTTAAATGCACTGTTTTGCATTTGCTAATTTGGCTTATTACATGGAAACATACTGATATTTAACAAAATATGGCGGTATTAGTTCAATTTTGAAAAAATGTGACTTAGTCGCTTTTTTCTTCCTGCAACCTTCATTTGCTTTATAACTTTATTAATATTTATTTTTTTGTTCCAGATAAAACTCTTTAACCGCTGTGGAAAATGAAGCAACTTGACTTTCAAGCTAATTAACACGCTACATTTAATTATTCTATTTGTATGTTTGTTTTTGTTTCAATAAAAATTTTGTTGATCATGCTTTTAATTTTTTTTTGTTATAATAAAATATTTAAACTTGTAGTCAAGTAGTTAGGATTGGTTCATACTACTTATTTTTTGCTTTATTTTAACAAATATAATTTTATTGCTACAATAACGTAAAAACGGAGTTATTATGAACAAATCTTATTTTGACTACCACTTTTAAAGTGTAAATTGTGAATGACAATTTTAAATGTTCCCGCGTTTTGTATTAACTAAAGTAACTGCGAGATGGTGCCACTTCCTTCCAAATAGTTCAAAGAACGATCACACGGCGCTAAAATACTGTCTTGAATTTTAACATTGCCATTTCCATTCTAAAAGTAAGTGATCTGTGTTCCTGGAGAAAGTATCCACCAGTGGACACCACATCGCCGACAGCAAGGTATAATGTATTTTACACCTGCCCAAACGAAAGCTTCAGTGTCCGTTGGTATAGTTCATTCCTACACCAGTGGGACAAACGAAAGAACCTATTATCAAATAACTAAGATACATTTTGTCAAAAATACAACATTTTGTTTTTTCACGGTTATTTGAAATACCGAACACAGTTGATAAAATGTAGTGGCAGAAATGATTGAATAATTCTGAGAAACATTACCCATTTAACCGATTATGTAATTCTTATATTAACGGACATGGGACACGGTGTATTAAAAGTCCGATTACGCTTTTGGCAAGCCCTGAATATTCTTTGATTTGCACTATCAAAATATTTTAAGAACTAACCAGAATAAAAATGATAGAATGGGTATGTATATACTTATTTATAGATTATAAACGTGTTTCTATTTTACAGATTTTTCTATTTGTAATTCCATTCATGATAAATTTACCAAAATAAATAAATCTGGTCTTATTAGAAAATTTAAGATCCGTCTTAAGGTATTTAATATATTTATTTTTTAATGAGAATGTTTTATTTACAAAAAGATCGTCAAATAAAATGTTCAAAATATGTACGTTGAAAATAAACAAAGTAAGCGTAGTTTTTTTGAAAATTTAGCAATAAAGTGTTAATAAAAAAATAATAAAATATTAAAAGCAATGTTCAAAATTAAATAACCAAATAAAAATATATACTCACGTATTAGGTACATTCCTCATATGTTTATTCCTAATAAAAATCAACACCAGGGTACCATTACCCAAAACACCTATTACAAAAATTAAAAAAAATATCACAGGTACCACATAAGTCTCAGGTCTCACATTATACGGTATTAATGAATCACCGTTGTCACAACTATCACAAGAACTCAACGTCACATTAGTATCGCATAGATCACATGATACATTTGTTCCATTGTACTGGTAATAAGAAGTGTTTATTGCACTAAAATCGAGGGTGAAATTCATCTTAATTGCGACGATGTAATTATTATTTTCCCATTTTCAACGTGATGTGATGTAAATTGGCTGAAAACAAAACAATTAGTTAGTTATACATATGTTTTAGCGAGAGGCAAGGTTTTTGAACTATAAATAAATAGCGGTATAATTTTTGGCTACATATACATCACATTGGTATTTGACTGTATAATTATAAAAACTTCATTAAGGTGTTATGGTATATCAAATATATCTTTACATATGCTTTGAATATTGAATATCAATTATATTATTTTACTGGAACAGTTACATGTTCCGTATAGAAGATGGCACATAAATGCAACATCAGAAACATTTATATTGTATTTTAATTATTGAATATAAAAAAATATCCTCATATCCACATATACTTCAAAACTAGCCAATTGAAATAACTTTTGATTTATCTTAAACAAAAAAGTTTTATATCAATGTAGAAGTTTAAAAATTGTAATTACCTATTTCCAAGTTTTAGCCCTTCAGCGCCACCTAATCCTTGTTATGATACACCAAGTTAAAGCGTAAAAAAATACAAGCCAATTATATTGTTACCAGCAGTCTGCGGCTGTTATAGGAAACGTACGAATAAAATAAGTATGTCACCCATCACCTTACAGCGTGCTGCGGTCATCATAAGCAAAGGTACGAGTAAACGAAGAAGGGAAATATTCGAGAAATGTCATTCCACGTTGAAAAATCTGGACAGGTCAAGAAGGTTCGAGAAGGTTAAAGCAAGCTATATAAGTCGGTGATTCTGACATCAGGGCAGCAGTTTTATGATAGACGTTATACGTTAATATCATCAGTTGAATTATTATAAAAGTTGAGTTGAAATAAATTGAGATACCAAAAAACCAGCGTAACATTGATGACAGCTATGAGATATAAAATAAAAGTTACCCAATCATTCTATTCATGGTAAAAAGTAGATCCATTTCAACGAAACAGATATGGATACTTCAGACCCACCAAGATGGAAGAGGAGAGAAAATGACGGAAGAGGAAAAGGAAAGGCGAAGAAGAGCAGTAAAAGGAAAGGCGCAGGAAAGAAAAAAAGAAGAGAATAGGGAAAGTCGAGAAGAGGAGAAGGAAGAGAGGAATAGAAAAGAGGAGGTAGAGATTATAAATGGCTTGCTACTAATTTAAGAAAACTTCAGACAAGAGGTAGGCCAGCTTAAAAGTCGAATATATTCTCTTAGTACAACAACAAAAAAATTTAAAAGTTATTTAAAACCAACAGAAACAGCTAGAATAAAGGCATAATAGAACTGAACTTTAAGTTAGAAAGAACAATTCGTAGTCTAGCTTCGATAAGTAACAGAGAAACTGAAAACACTACCTCGTCCTCATCTGTAATCAAATCAAGCCATATTCATAATCCAGTTTTATAAAGCCATACTAGGAAGATCATTGCCACCCACTTTTGACGGTCAGACAATATAGAAAACATATCGCCTCCTAGCTAGAGTCAATGGGTTGGCTGAAAAAGAGATGGCGGCTTCATTAATAGTGTGGCTGCGAGGACAGACAACAACCATTTTACAATTACTCTCTCAAGGAGAAACCAGTTATTCATCTCTTGTCCAAGCCTTGGAGACAAGGTATGGTCAGCAACATTCGAAACGAGTATTCCAAAGCCAGCTAAAGGTTCGTAGTCAGAAACATAATGACAGTATACAGAAATTTGAGGCCGATATAAAACGATTGATTCATCTGACCTATCCAAAGATTTCCAAGAATAAATCGGCATACATGAGATATCCATTGATGGACTACCAGATGTGGAAATGCAGCAAGCCCTTCGTCTACAACATCACAAGACGCTGAGGAAGAAAGTGATTGCAGCTCAGGAATATAAAGCGGTTAAACTCATATTCAGATCTTCTCGCGCAAAACTGAGAGAAATTATATCCCAGGAAAGTGAGGAGGCCAATACTAATGCTAATTTCTCTCAAAAATCTTAATTATCCTGCAAGATGAGGCAAATTTAGTCAATAGTATTGTTACGCAGTGCCCTGCAGTAGCCTGCGACTATTATAGGAAACGTACAGATAGAAAAAGAGGTAAAATGTTATTCATCGCCCTACAGTGTGCTGCGGTCGTCATAAGTAAAAGTACAAGTAAAAGAAAATAGAATAGTCCAGAAATGTCTGGAAATGTCATTACCCGTCAAGAATATTCTAAACGACATTTCGAAAAGGGTCAATCAAGCTATATAAGGATGATCCTAAAGTCAGTTTTCAGTTTTATGATAGACGTTACATGTTAATGTTAAAGTGGAGTTGAAATAAATTGCGATACCAAAAACCTGTGTAACAGTATGTATTTCAGTGACAAATTAACACTTTACGTTGAATGAATTTGTTAATAAACATAACTGTAGGTATGGGGAAAACAAAAATCCTCACCTACTTCGGCAGGATAACACTCAGTTTCCTACGAATGTATTCTTGGAAATTAAATAATTGGATCACTTTTTATGTAGAAAAACTGAGGGAAAATTGCACCTCCAATTATAAGAATATGAAATTAATTCATTTATTACTTAAATATGGTGCTAGACAAACAGAATATATTATACCTTCAGCAGGATGGAGTTACAACACATTATGCAAAAGCAGCAATACAATGGCTAAACGAATCATTTTCGATGCATTGGATTAGTTGAAGGAATTTTATAGAACGGCTGGCAAGATCTCCTGATGTAACGTCACTTGTCTTCTTCTGTAGGGCTATTAAATCCCCTCCCAAAGAACTAAGAAACGTTGCAGAAGAATTTAAAACTAAATTATATTATTGCTTGCAGAGCCCACTTTGAACAGTTTCTGTAAATACATTTCCGGACTTTTTGGCAAATAACTTTGTTTCAGTTTTTGAAGTATTTTCACATTAACCATTTCACTTTTTAATAAAGGTTAGGGGGCGCTGAAAGGATCAAATTTGAAAACAGATGCATAACATTTTTAAACATTCCCTCTCGATATAATATTTGACTGATTTTTGTTTTTCTTAAATTTCATTGAATGAAAAGTTATTTCGACTGGCTATTTTAAAATAAAAACACTATAACCATTTTACATTGAACCTTAAAGAAGGTAATTAATTTTCTTTCGTTATGATTATTATGATAAATAGAGAGTCGAAGTAACACTAATTGAAAGATTATTTCAATATACATACTTATTTTTTTATTAATATGTAGTTATGCAAACAGTTGACTGTTATTAATTGTTTTTTGTTACATTGCTTAATAGTTATTGAATGAGTACAGGAAAAATATTAATTTTGTTCATTCATAAATAATTTATCTACATAAAAATAATTATAAATTAAAAACTTCAAAGACATGTGAAAAAATTGGTAAAGTTTTTACCCAGAACTTCCCTCGATATAGCAATTATAAAACCAGGGAACCCCGATTAGGGGGATTTTAAAATTTTAGCTACTAATTTCAAAACTATTTATAAATACACGGAAAAAAAATTGTAGAACAAATTTCTACAATTATAGATTTTTTCTCTACAATAAATAGTACATATAGGGACAGGGACAATTTGTAGTAAAAATTTCCAAATATTTGTGGAGAATGTATTGTAGAGTTATTATATACAATATTTAGTAAAAATATCCAAATGCATCATAAGAATTGTTCTACAAATTGTTATAATTTTTGCTATTCATTGTATGAATTTATATTAAAAATCTATTGCGTTTTATGAAAATAAATACGAAAATTTTACACAATAAATAGTAAAAATTCATACAAATTGTAGTAATTTTTAATAAAACTTGTAGTAGTATTTCATAATTATTATAATTATAACCTAGAAAAAAATGTTCCTTAATAAAATATTCAATTTATTGTTTTAATATAAAAGATACAAAGTCTTAATTACATTATGTAATAAATAACAGTAATAATAGCACCCTCAGTCTCAGTTGGCTTTTCTGCACCTGAAAAATATGAAATAAAAATTAATAACAATTGAACTGTTCATACTCTTAAAACGGGGATATTTATCACCTTTACACTGATTTGGATATTAAATGACTAAGTCAGATAACTAACAAAAATAAGAAAGTAGGTATGTCACAATTAAGACAAAAATAAAACATCATTGAGCTTGGCACAAAATTCGATCGTTGGGCACAACATTCGATTGTTGGCCACAACTATTTTTTTTAAATAATCTACTAAGGTTATTTAAATTAGTTATCTAAAGGTAAATTATTCAGAAACAATAATAAATGTACTTACCACCAATAGAATTTATTATTAAAATTTTCTTAAACGCATCGGTGCTTATAATATAATAATGTGTTATAGGTACTTGTATATGTACCATGCTTTGTTATGTGAACATGGCGAACGGCTACTGCTGTCTGGCCATTTATGATCGATGTCAGAAAACGTTGGCCAATAGCAGAATTCTGTTTTGCTCACATGACTTAGAATTTCTACAATATTATAGAATATTTTTGAACAAAATTGAATTTTTTTCATAAACAGGGATGTAAATTATTACTATTTTTTGTAGAGAAAATTACTATTTTTTGTAGAGATAATTATTAATATTTGTACAAATTTTTTCAGAAGTTAGTAGTAGTAATTACGATAATTGTAATAAATTTCTACTTCTACAAACAATAGTAAAATATACTAAACATTGTAGACTTTTTTCCTATTGTTGTAGCATTTCGACAATTCAATTGCTACAATAATGAATAGTTTTTAACTATAAATTGTAGTAAAATTTTCTACAAATTGTTAAGTATTTTTCTACAAGTCTACTACTACAACATTGTAGTAAAATTTTCTAGTCACATTTTTTTCCGTGTAGAAAATAAATTAACAGATTCTGTTAAAATAAATTAACTGAGTTGATTCACCTGTTATTTTAAAGTAATTAGTACAATATATTTTAAAAGGTTAAACCACCAAACCAAAAACCCTTTCACCTTTATCTCTCAATCGATCCTTCTCTTGATCCCACCCGAACTCATACTTCGCGTCCGCGCGGTGTTCTTTGTCTCGTTCATCGTTGATAATGGTTAAATTC